CCGTGCCTTCGGCACGGAATATGAACCCGTGTGTAACTGGATTATTCACACATACCCATACAATAACTATAATTTATACCCCCGGGTATTATTCAGATGGGCGATGAATAATACCCAGGTCTTAATCATAGGGGGTACTATTCGTTGGGGATATTTTGTACAGTGCTAGACGGTAGTTTATTTAAGACTTTAGGATTTATAATATTAAAATTCCATATTTAATTTGAGATTATATAGAATAGCTAATGAATGTCCGATTTAACAAGAGTGACATGTATTTCCTGTGATTACATATTTTACATTTTGTTCTATATTGAAATCGGTAAATTTTTTAGCGACGAATAGAAAGAAGCTTGCTTCGTCTGAAACAAGACTTGTTCAATCTTTAATTGGGTTAATGGACTCTACTTCATTGAAGGTGCAATGTCAAGCCGCATTAGCATTGAGAAATCTAGCATCTGATGGTAAAATATATTTAGTAAATGAATTGTCTTTGTGTGTACTTGTAACTCATTTGATTTTGTTTTTATTTAGAAAAATATCAACTTGAAATAGTTCGTTCTCGTGGATTACCACCACTACTTCGATTACTTCAATCATCTTTCCTACCTCTAATCCTCTCTTCGGTTGCATGCATTCGTAATATATCCATTCACCCGCTTAATGAATCACCGATAATCGATGCAGGATTTTTGTCTCCATTAATTCAACTTTTGGCGTATGAAGAAAATGAAGAGATTCAATGTCATGCGATTAGTACGTTAAGAAATTTAGCTGCTAGCGCTGAAAGAAACAAAAGGGCAATTGTAGATGCAGGAGCCGTTGAACGAATCCGGGAATTGGTATTAAGTGTCCCAATGAGTGTACAAAGTGAGATGACCGCTTGTGTGGCTGTTTTGGCGTTAAGCGGTAAATCTATTTCCATTTTTTTGTTCCGTGTCGTCGAGTATCTAATCAGATAATATCTTTAATATAGATGAATTGAAGCCGCGACTGTTAAAACTTAACATATGCCAAGTATTACTTCCTTTGACAAATTCTTCGAGTGTTGAGGTGCAAGGCAATAGTGCTGCTGCTATTGGAAATTTATCATCAAAAGGTTCGTGAAGTCTACTTTAATTATCTTTATTGTCTAAAGAAAAATGTTGATGCCTTTTTATTTTAAATTATCATTATAGTTCAAGATTATTCACCATTTGTTAAAGTCTGGGAACAACCTGCCGGTGGTCTACATGGATATTTGCAGCGCTTTCTGGACAGTACAGATAAAACATTCCAGCATATTGCTATTTGGACAATTGTTCAATTTCTGGAAGGAAGAGGTTAGTTATTCAAATATTAACAATCGTTAATTAGATAGAAACTACATTTTCATTGTTTTTTTTTTTCAAATAGATTCACAGTTATTCACAAATATAAAATCTTCGAATACTATTGTGTCTGCTATAAATCGTCTTGCAGAATATGGTGTTACTCCTGATGGTGAGGAACCATTGGATGATGACGATGATTCAGACGAAGGGGAGATTGTGGCTTTGGCTCGAAAAACCTTGGCTATGTTGCAACGATAAGTAAACAATTATTTCTGACTGTCATTTTGGTACATATTCTAACACTACTACCATGACAGCGACAACATACTATTCATGAAAGATACATATCGGATTCTTAATGAAATAACTGTTAGGTGCGTGAATACGCAAAGTTTCAATGTTCTGTTTTATAAAATATACAATAATATTAATGATCATTATAATGTACCCCTTCTCCTATATGCAAGTAATAAAAAGAATCGTTGAAATATGCAAATAAACAAATGCCATTGTGTGGTTATTCTTATTGAAATTCCAAATACACCAAGCATGTTATAAATATAATAAAGGTACTAATTTAACACGATCAAAAATCAAAATCTGGTGGAGAAATAGATGGCAGATCGGAAATAACAACCCTCGTCTTCGCCCTCCGAA